AAAAGAAAGGAATTACCTTAATGAATAATGAATCTTTAATTTAGACAATGATGACTTAAATGATTTAATGGTAATTTTACTTAAGAGGTGAAAATTTTGGAGTTAGACTTGTGCCACATGTGAAGTAAGGTAGGTAAAGAGATGTAATATGGTTGCCTTATAACCTACTAATTAAAAAAAATTTACAAATGAATTTTTTATTTTTTTTTAAAATGGTATATCACATGATACTATAAATTTATAATTATGATATATTATTAGTTGATTAATTTTTTTATTCAATATTTACTTATAATATTATATATATTAATTTATTTAATAATATATTCTGATTATATATTTATAATTTTACATAACATTATTACTATACCGTTACATATTATTTTCTTTGGCATTTCACCGAATAGTTTGGTTGCACATGTGCAAAGTGTAAAATTGAAATTGCATAGGTTGGAGTTTGGTGCCTTATGTGAGAATTTGAAGAAAGTAATTCTTTATGTTCATCCAAAATACCGCTGTCTAGGTCCAGAGTCATCGATCGGCCCACCATCGGTTTCCAGCTCACAGTCCACATTGCAACTAGTCTGAAATTCAACTTGATTATGGTGCCCAGATGGGTTGGGCCAAAGCCCATGGGCTCTGTCGTAGCTTTGCCGACTCTTGGACGGTTAACGACTTTTGTCCAAGGGAGTATGCACGGCCCAAACGACACCTTGCCTAATTGGTTAATGTTTTATTGGGGAGAAATTTGTATTTATTGGTTAAATCATGAAAAGTAATAAAGTAGATTCGATAGCTTTAAAAAGTTAGCAATACATATTCTTTAAAATTGATAATTTCCTTTAAATTAGGGAAAAGCTGTGGTAATACTTATTCCTTAATAATTCACTGATTTATAAGTAAAAAATGATTAATTTTAAAGTTTAACTTATTATTATTATTATTATTATGAGTTGTACAATAAGAGCAAGAGCAATTCTTTTCCATTTTTTATATATCCCATCTGCAATCCTATGATTTGAAGATAGAATTTATTACTTCATTTAAATAAGAGATTATCACTAAATTATTTAAACTGTTAGTATAAAAGTTAGTTATTTTAACTTTTTAAGTTTCTTAATTGTACCTTTATTTATATAATTTGATTAAAGAATTAGTTTTTTTTTTTTGAATTTTAGGTTGCATAATAAAAAGTAATATTCTTCACCCATCCCTTTCACCCACCCTTGACGAACATATGAATATGACTTGAACTAATGACCCCTTATTTCTAACGAATTTGATTATTATTAGTTAGTTTAGTTATTTCTAACTTATTAAGTTCCTTACTTTTACCTTATTTTTATAATTTCTTAAAGAATAGACTAATTTTTTCTCTTTTTTTTATTTCTTATTTTTTATATAATTTTGAATTGTATAATAGGAGAACATCTTTTCTCATCCCCTTCACCCAACTTAACCACACATTTATGACTTGAATCCAAAATATTTTACTTCTGTTAAAATAAAATTACTATCAAACCACTTAAAGTTGCTAGCAAAGCATAGGCTAAACCCTGCCGTGTTGCTCTCATCCGCTAGAAAAATTTATGGATGTCCACTAAAAACGTGTTGTAGGTTACACCCTTCCGCGTTGCTCTCCGCTGGAAAATTTGGTTTTCAATTTGCTACTTTGTTATGAAATTTTTTGTTGATCTTATGATTAGTTTATATAACAGAAGATAATCTCATTTTTTTATATTTCTCTCCTCTTATCTTAAATTTCAAATCGAAGACTTTCATCTTATAGTCTCCTGTTTATACTAGTTGAACACACCCAGTTAGGGGCTTCTTTGTTGGGAAATTATAAGTTTTAGAGGTGTTTGTTTTGATTTTTTTTCTATTAAAAAGTTATCAGTTATTAATTTTAATTAAATAAATTAAATATTTAAATTATAAATAATAATAATTATTAACTATAAAATATTAATTATCTATACAAATAATTATATTGGATAATAAAATTCACATTTTATTCAAATTATTAAGTATCAATTTTATTCAAATTATTAAGTATCAATTACAATTTAAATAGTTAATCTAAACAGCAATTAAATTTAGTCTATACCATTGAAAGCATATCAGAAGTTTTCTGCCGCCTTGTACCTCCTTTTTTTTTTTTTGTCAGTATTACGTCGTACCTTTTTAATAAAATTTATTTCTTTACGGATTAAAATGAAACAAAAATCAAAAGGGTCTTCTCTATCATTGAATCGAAGTCAATTTTGTATAATGCATAAAAATTCGATGATGATACCACTTTACTCCTTTGCCAAAAAAAAGGAAAAGGAAGATCTTCTATCTCACGGACGATTTTGGTCGGTATGTATGCAGTGAATGTTGTGGCTAGACATTGAAAAGGTAGGGGAACATGGGTAGCCCACCCTCGAGGGAGTACTTTCACTACTCTTCTTCACTATTTTCTTTATCCGCAAGATGAGTTTTTAAGTACTTTCTAAAAAAAAATTTAAATTATATAATAAAAAATATTTTTTTTATTTCTTAACTTAATTTGATATGTATATTATGTCATTTGAATTTAAAATTTATTTTTATTAAAAAATTAATATTAAATTACTAAGTATTAGAATAGGATAAATGATATATTTCTTAATTATATATATTTTTAATATGAGATTTTCACACTCAACACTAATTTTAATGGTTAAATACACTTATTTGATAACTCTAACCCAAATAACTCACATTGTCTTTCTTTAGCCAATATTTCAAATATCATCAATTGATTCTCTGCTCAATTGATAAAAACACTTCTCCAAACCTATTTAAACAAGATCCTCTTTACGTTCATTTAATTCAACACTTGCATCTCCTAATTAATTCCTTCGTAGACATTTTATGCATTTATAATTTCCAACATTAATAAGTATTACGAATTTCTAACACGGTCTCTGCGTTTCTTGCGTGGAGCATCTGAACCTAGTCATTTATATTCATGTCTTAAGCCAACGTTGATGCACGCTTGTTTAGCCCATGTCTCTTTCAAATCCTATGACAAAATTCGGGTTCTTATTAGTGGGTAAGCACAGCCACCAACCGATCACATCAAGTCATCAACCTCTACGATCCACAACACGTCGGCAAAAGACCCAATTTCGGATTCTCCTACTATATGGTTTCTTATGGCATCTTGTATTTATTGAGTCTGCAGTTTTACACAATTCCTGTAGCTTCTTTTTATACAAATTGTGTATTTTATAGTTATGGATGGAGAAAGGCCACCTTAATATCAAGAAGTCACTCCTCGTTAATGGTTTTTTTTTTTTTTTATCAGTCCCTTGTCAATGGTTGTGACATCACATTTTTGTTACTTATTTATTTCCCTGAGTTAGAGAAATGATATAAACGGAGGGGTCTCTCTATTTAATGCACCATCGGCAAACACGATCGAGTTTATAGCTAATTCTTAACTAGTACAGATATTTCAAGTCGAATTCAACAAAAATCATTTATGTTCATATTGAAATTAATCAGCAAAGGAAAAAGTGTTTGCAGGTCCGAACTAGACTTTTGCAGGCCCTCATTAGGTTATTTGGAATTCATTTGACATAAACAAAAATAATTGAGGAAAAGGTTTATCAGTTGATCTAATAATAATACTAATAATAAAAAAAGCCTTAAGCTTTATCGGGGCTTATCTAGGTAGAGGCTGGCACATCCAGGTCCCAGGTTGGAGTTCCAATTGATAAAGTTATAATCGAATGGTTGAATCTATATAAAACATTTACAAAGTGCTAGCTAGTAATTTGATTAAAAAATTGCTATAACAAAGACATATGTCTCATGTTTGGGTATGGTAGAATATGCAAAAATTTTATTTTATTTTTGATAGGTTGATGCAAAAAAGACAACAACCTTATTTTATTTTTTTACTATTATCACTCGTTTGCTTACAATTGAATCGAGGATCTTTTTTTTTTTTACTTTTGAATGATTTAGGTCGTTGGCGACATATAAAAATTCAATAAATGACTAAAGTAAAGTAATGTTGCTTTAACATGTTGTTAAGTGATGCTATTGGCAGAAAAATTGACTGCTGCGGAAATCGATCGAAATTTGTTGTGTTGTTCACTGTATTGATTGTATTGATATTTGTTGCTTAGTTAATAGTATACTTACTCAACAGAGCAAATTGTAGTTTATATCCCCATAAGAATAATAAATAGAGTATTATGTAGTCCAAATACTATTAGATTGTATAATTTAAACTATTAAATAAAGATAAATCTTTTGATATTAAAAGTTGTTCTCTCTCATCTAATATTTATATTTTGCAATCAAAACTGCAAACTAGAACACTCTAAAAATAAATGCATATACCTTATAATAGCATAAAGCTTACTTTTTTGGTAATTAAGTGTATTGAGATCGATTTTTGTATAATTCGAAGTTAACTCTTTTTTAAGCGATTTTAAGAGTATATTCTTAACTTTAACTTACTGCATTTAAAAAAATTAAAAACTTTTAAATATTAATCCTAAGATTTAAACTTGAGTCTCATCAACAAAATAACACAACCCAGCGGATTATAGCATAAAGCTACCATAAATAGAGACAAACAGGTAGTAAAATTTATGTCAAAAAAAGAAGTGGGTTATGTGGCTAAAACTGAAGTAACCAAAAACAGATACTTGTCCGAGGACTATTGTGGACCTAATTAACACCATCCTAGGTCGTCACCCATCCGAATCAGACCAAGCTTCTCTGATATTTTCATATTTAACAATTATAATGTCAATTGACAAACCATACATGTGCTGTGTGCTAGCTCCATTGTTGATGATGTGATCTCTGATGAGATTGCACTTAACACATACCACCAAAACTCTTTTTTTTCTCTTAAAATGATGCATAATCATAATTCATTTTTTCTCTTGATGCAGATATAATCATAAATCCTTTTTAAACAACCATATATAAACATTAGAAAGCGATACATGCCCAAAAAAACATCACTTTGAATGCTTGATGTTAAGATAGGCAGTTCTTTCGCTAGCAAAAACGCAGTAACCCAACTCGTCAAGCTGCCTTACACCCCAAACCTTAACACGCAGCAGTTCAATAACAACTGGTTTGCACTTTGCTCTTCTTATCGCTGCTAGAACCCAATTCCTTCACAAATCCGTACATTACCCATATAAATGGCTGCTGCAATCTCCAAATTCAAACCAAAAACTTCCCGCCATGCATCACTCAAGATCTGCAAATGCTAGCTCCGGTGGTAGTGGCAGCAGCAGTGGTGGCAGCAGCAATGCTTATCCTAATACAGGGGGTGCAGGTAAGGACTCAGGATGGATCCAAAGAATGGAGGCAGTCGGGTCTCTGCCTCTAGTTATTCTCAAAAATCCTAAAAGGATTATTAGAAACATTAACTGATTATCCTTTGTTTAATTATTTAGATTAAATTTACTCTTTTATAAATGTACCTTAATTCAGTGAAGAAAAATTCTGAATCAGTAAGTGCAGCTACAGGTCTTGCGGGGCGTCACCCAGTTTACAGGGGAGTAAGGCGTCGGCGAAGTGGGAAATGGGTATCGGAAATTCGAGAGCCAAGAAAGCCTACAAGAATCTGGCTGGGGACATTTCCCACCCCTGAAATGGCTGCTATTGCTTATGATGTGGCGGCGCTTGCCCTAAAAGGCCAAGATGCTGAACTCAACTTTCCCAACTCTGCTCCATCTTTGCCTGTACCTGCCTCAAATTCCCCACGTGATATCCAGGCGGCTGCAGCCTCTGCCGCCGCTGCTCTAGGCGCTGCAGGTGATGCTTTGAATGTGAGAAACAATGAGGGTAGAAACAACCCAGAGGCGGCGGCGACGGCGGAGAGAACTGAAGCTAATGAGTTTGTGGATGAGGATTTGATCTTTGATATGCCTAATGTGATTCGCAATATGGCGGAAGGGATGCTTATGAGCCCTCCTCGCTTAGATGACGCTGCCGGAGATGCTGCTGGGACTGCAGACGACGAGAACCTCTGGAAATTCCCTTAATACTTTAAAAAATGTAAAAAATTAATAAATAATAAATTATGAAACAGGCTCCACCAAATATATTGGAAAAAAAAAAAAAAAGGAGAGAGACAAAGCAATCAAGTATAGTACTATATATAGTGTTCAGGGAGCCCAGGGAGTGCATGAGTGTGGCTTTGTTTCTTCTTTGGTTTGTGTACTGATTTTCTATCATGAGGACTTGCTCTTGTTGCACATTATTATACCTTCGTAATGCCGAGCTTAATGTAGCAATAAAAATTTGGCTGTATATATATATGAGTGGTTTGCTTAATTTAAGTTGCACAATATGGAGACATTCTTCTTTTTTTCTTTTATTTATTTACAGAATATTGCTAAATTTATTTAATTTATTGGTGATTGATTGTTTGAAATGCATCGGAATGCAAACAAGATCGATCACTTTGCAATTAAATTTTAAAACAAGCACATTGATTGATTAGTAATCTGCAAATGAAATTGCCCAAAGTTTAAGATATAAAGGAGAAAGGAATTTAAAAGGCAATAAAGAAGCAAAGATAAGATCCATTGTTTTGGTTGGTGAAGAAAAGAGAGCAAGTTGGGTAGTTTAGTCAAAAAGAATAATTAACACGTTGATTATAAGGGTAATAGGATATACTTTCTACATCTTTGCTTTAATTAATTATTTGTTTATTAATTATTAAAGAGCATAGAGAACATGGTTCAGTTTAAACTCACTAACCTAGTGATGACTATGATCCCAATATATGGCCCACCTCGCCCTTGGTTGACATGTTAATCTAACAGTGGGTAGGCATTAATCTGGAAATGTGAAGTGAAGGAGGATGTTGATGGGCCACCTTAATTTCTGTGTTAATGGGGGCAATGGGGGGGTCCCCAAATCATGCATCGTATTTATGTCTTGGTGCACTACTGCTGCACCCACTATTTGCATGCCCTTTGCTAATAAGCTCTTCACTATATCACTGCTGCAGGCTTGACTCTTTCTAAGTTTTTGGAGACTACTGTAACAAGTGAAGGATAGAGACCGACCTCATGTATTTTGTTAAATTTTTTAGTTCAACTTTGTAATGGGTTATAGTATTTTTTGTACTTTCTATATTAATAATAGTGTTATATATGCCAAAAAAAAAAAAATTGAATTGTAAAATTAGTTTTAAGTTTGTTATTAATTTTATATACCATATGATTTTTCCAATAGTATCATAGCGCGGAATCCATCTTGTCAAGCCTATTATTAACTAACGTGACAATACTGAAAAATCATACCAAATTTGAAATATGTTTTGAAAACCATATTGATTCCATACATGATGAGAAGGATGCCCATGTGACGTTCTGTAGGTCATATTGGGCTTAGAAAATGGTCTTGAAAGACAAGAACAAAATTCATACCAGACCTCATTGTGAGGAGGCAGTGTTCCATGACAAAAGGTGCATATATCGAAATAAAAAGGAAAAGCATGTACTCTTAAATATAAAATAAGCTGCTTTGAATCTTAGACAATTAATTTTAAATTGAATTCTTATCTTTGGTTAATAACTTCAAGAGTTCCATTTATTAATTAACAATTATCATCTTATAAATTAATTTTAAGGTTTAAATTTAGAAAACAACATTTCAAATTTTGTTGAATGCATTAAATTGCAGTAAGAATGCACTCTTAAAATCATTCAAAAAATATTTAATCTCATGGTGCACTTAAACTAACATCAAGAGACACCTTATCCACAAAAGGGGAAAAAAAAAGAATAAGGTCTTCACTTTATTGGTTTTTATTAGTTTTTACTTAATAAGACACTTAAGGCATGTTTGGTTGGGAAAATGCTTTTCCACAACTTTTCCTCTTACTTGAATTGTTTATAGTTATTTTCATATTTTAATATTACAACAAAAGAGAGTAAATTTGGTATTTTAGTCTTTGATTTCTCTATGACAAAATTCTTGATATGAAATCTTTTCTTCTTGCATTTTTGAAAGTAAAAAACATTTTCCCCCAACTTTCTTAATGTGGGATCTACTTAACATCTTTTCATTAACTCTTCCTATATCAACTTCTTATCTAATATAAAAAAGTTTACAATTCTAATAAAATTTATTATAAAATGACTAACTTACCATATTATACTTTTCAAACTATATTTTCAATAAAATTAGCCTTTAACCAAATAGGCCCGTAATACTTCTATTCTAATTTTACTCCTATTGAATGATGGCAGAATATCTAAATTCACCTTCAAAGTATAATGGTAGAGATGGATTCACTTTTGAATAAAAAAGAGGACAAACTTACTCACAAAATGTTTGACTTGGACAAATCACCCCAAATTTAATGCGTGACGTCATTTGATGTTAGAAATCCATTAACAATGAATTTATTAGCAATATAACAAATTAATGAATTCTTGATGTCAAATGACAGTCATACATTAAATTTGATATAATTTGTCCAAATTAAAAACTTTGTAAGTGAATCTGCCCCTGTCATTATACTTTGGGGGTAGATTTGGGTATTTTGCCTTAAATGATTGTGGTAACTTTAAATGCGAAAGGAATTTAAAGTTTTCAAGGGTAAAAATAGGATTTTAGTAGCAATAATTGTGTTGTTTATATATTAAATATATATATATATTCTTAAGTGAATAATAGGATTCATTAATAGTACAACAAAGACATCACAAAATGGTAATCCCTAAGCCTATAGCCCTGGCAAGAGATGATTTTGCCTACAACATATATAGACAACTAAGTACATAGAATTATCAATTACAAAATATTGCATAAGCAAGCAAAGCAAACAGACTTTAGAGGACTACTTTTGTGCATTCAAAGCAGTTGAGAAGTTTTATCTAATATTTCAACTTCTAAGGTAGAAATATTAACAAAACCCCCATCCTTGACGAAAACGTGGACAACCAAAGCAAGTGCTACAATTAGTCCAACCCCCACGCTATCTGCGGATGAGATAATTAATACAATACATGTAAGATGGTTTTTTGCTGAGACTAAAGCAACACCGCATATGCGATTTTAAGTTAATAATAATACCACATAGTAGTAGTAATTAACATGGCTATATAATATAAAGCCTTAAGTCCCTTTTTTTTAATCAGCTATAAAGGTTTTCCTGCACTCCCCCATATGGTCAAAGTAGTTACGTTTCTCCATGTGAGAAGTAAGGTGAAACGCAACACATGATTATCAAGTGAATTTCTCGATCGGTACTTGATTAGATATTAACTTGTTAAAAAAAAAAGCTATAAAGGTTTTCCTGCACTCTCCCATATGATCCAAGTAGTTACGTTTCTTCATGTGAGAAGTAAGGTGAAACGCAACACATGATTATCAAGTGAACTTCTCGATCGGTACTCGATTAGATATTAACTTACTAAAAAAAAAAGCTATAAAGGTTTTCCTGTTTGGAAACATAGGTGCAGAAATATGTATACTGTATGTCGGTATAAGGTATGTCGGTATACAGTATTCTTCAAAATGAAAATTAGGAGTACTAATTAGATTGATTAGGTTTATGACAACTTGTGAAAGATGATTAGGATTAAGACTTAATCAGTGATTATGTCTTACTTCAATCACTGATTAGGACTTAATCAGTGATTTAATTAAGGAAAGCGAAATGATTTAATCACCAAACGGAACCTAATAATCACCTATATTGACCGCGCTTAATAAGGACTTCGTGCTTCTCCTATTGATGGCTGTTGATGACATAGGAATACCCTATCTTGCTTAATTAGTGCCCAGCAAAATAAGCGAGATTGACACAGCGAGGATACAACTGTCCCAAAAATCACAATTTAGGCTATCTAGTTTAAAAAGTTAATGATAATGGCCTAGTGGAAAAGTTAATGATCAACAAACTACCCTATTGTTTAGCATATTTTAGTACCGTTGTGTTTATGGGAAAAAAAACTGTTGTTTTGTATTTCAAAGCTTTTTTTCCTTTTTATTCTTGGGTTATATAATGAAATGTGATTATCTCTTATTTTTTAATACATTTCATTACTATATCATATTATTAAAAATTAAAATCTCTTATTTTTGTTGAAAGAAGATTATCATTGATCGCTGTTTACATGATTTGGTTTTTGTACCTCGAGTTTTAGATTTAAGTATTGAGAAAAACACTTAAAAATATTTTATTTTTTGAAATACCCAAAAATTATTAGAAGGGATGTGTTATTGAAACCACAAAATAAAACGAGAAATTAAAACAGGTACTTGTAAGGGTGAAAAGTATTTTCATATGTATTCTTGTTAGTTTGTACATATTTTAAAATTAATTTTTATTCAATCAAAAACAGTTGTTTATACAAAAAAAAATTAAGAATTAATTTCTCATTCTTCTTAAAGAAATCACATTTTAATTAATAAAATGAAAATAAATTCTTCTACTAACTTAGCTACCGCACTCTTTGATATTTCTTATATTCTTAATTATAATAAAATAATATTTTTGCCGACAAAGAAAACAGTAAGCACTTTTAACTTCTGTAGTGCCCAGATCGGGGTGTACAAAAAGTAACAAAACGTATAACTTTTTGTCCCTCTCCTTTTCTCAATTTTAAAGCACTCAATTTAAACTTATATTGCTCGCCTTTCTAGCTTCCTCCACTTTGTTAAGGAAAATTTGGCAGAAACCACTATGTTTTTATTATTATATCTTTAGAAAACATTTCTATCAAGGTCTTTCACTCAATTAATTTTTTAAATATTTGTAAATCACTCAATCTATAAATATTAAATAAGACTTTATTTTCAAAAGTAAAATTATTTACACTAAAATTTTATTTAAAAAATTCAAACTTACATTTTTAATATGATTTAAATTATTTTTTAACCACTTAAGCTAATCCCAATGACTTAACCAATATGTTATCCTGATGGCTTAAAAAAGATAAAATTAAAAAATAATAAAAATAAAAATAAAATAAAAGGTCATCTTTGAGCGACAACTGGGGTAGGCCTTCCCCACCACCCCTTAGTCGTCCATTAAGAAGAAATGGCCAGGCCAGCCCATTTAACATGAGGAAAGAAAGCTATTCTATTCATTCCGAATTGAAGCTTCAACTTCCCCATTTTTTTATGGGCTTTTTTGATGGGCAAACTTCTCCTGTTTGAAAACCCATGTAAGGAAAATCTAATTTATAAATATTTTTATGTTAAAATATTAATTTAGTCTCTCAACTTTTTAATTTATATTAAAATTATCCTTAAACTGCAAAAAATATTAAAATTATTTTAAAATTTTATTTTTCGGTATCATAATAGTCTCTTAAACTTTAATTCAATATTGGCTTAGTACTTGAACTTTGAAGACAGATGTCAATTTAATTCTTTAACTTTGATTAAAAGTACCAATTTAATCCTTTAACTTTGATTACATGTCAATTTGAGATGAAAATAGAAATATATCGCAATAACAAAATATGATTATTTCATTTTACATATTATTAATATTTTTTAAAAAGAACTAAAATTTTGTGATAAGATAATGAGTCATGTGATACTTTTATTAACAAAAAAAGCTATTTTAGTATTGAAATTCAATTTTAAGAATAATTTTAATATTTTTAAAATTTAAGAATACTTTTAATATAAATCAAAAGTTAAGAGATCACATTGGTATTTTAACCATATTTTTAAGAGAATATGAAAAGCGAGCAAAAGAACTAAATTTTTTTTTTCTACTTCAAATGATTTTTTTTTCTTTTTATTTTGGTTACACAATGGAAGACAATCATTTACCATCCCTTATCTTACCCTACCTGCATACCGTGCAATTTGAACTAAAGATTTTTTACTTTTAACGGAAGGAAATAACAACTAAGTTACTTAGATCGTTAGCCTACTTCAAATGATTAGATATACAAGTAAGAATAGTTCTTCACTTTCTAAACCTTTTCTTACTCATCTTACTTTTAACGGAAGGAAATAACAACTGAATTACTTAGGTCGTTGAACTACTTCAAATGAGTAGATATACAATTAAGAATAGTTCTTCACTTTCTAAACCTTTCTTGCTCATCCCACCATTTGAATTTAAAATTACAATAGAAATATTTAAGTTCTTAATTATTAATATGTCTCTTAAAGATAATAAGTTTTAATTAAATTCACTTTAAAATTTATCAAAGGAGAAAAATATAAAGAACTTGTTCCAATTGATACATTCTTAGATGCTTTGATATACTTTACATATATATCCATCATCCATGCTGCAACATTTTTGGTCACTTGCTTTCGTCGTCCTGCTTAACAACCTGTTCCGTCTCCACGGTCCGAACCTTGAACCGCTCAAGCCTGAGGCTTGACGCCTCTACCTGTCCACGAAAGCCACACCTTGGTGACGCCAAACTGCCATCCCAACCCCTTAGCACGGCAGTTCTTGCATTACTCATTCGTTGAAGATCATTATGAGCGTTTCTCACATTTCTAAACCATTTTGTGAAGGACTCAGAACTTGTAAGGTGTCTGCGCTTCAAGGTTGATGGCTGCTGAGACTCTAAGAACTTTGGAAAGTGATTTTCCATGGTATGTGTTAATTAATTTTGATTACTAATTTAGTGATATGGATCGAAGTCGAAGAATTGATGAAACTATATATAAAGACTTGTATAGAGCTAAGCTTTGTTTGCTGATGAAAGAGGGAAAATGTAGAAGAGTGGAATGAAAGCTGAAACGTAAGGAGTTTGGTTTTTATAGGCAATTATCTGTGCAGTGGGATAAGGGTTGACCAACCAAAATTTAAGTTCAAATATGGATCCTTCACAATCACGGGAAAGCTATAGCGACAGGGCTTTATTTACTCGTTTTCTAATTCTAAAGTTGACAAGGTCGATTTTTTTTATTCAAAATTTGTAAAACAAAAGGTGTTTCTAGATTAAATTGCATGGAACTACAAAATACCAATTATTAAATTATTGGGGTCCTTAATATTGGAGAAAAGTCATTCCATCTAATAACTAGTATTATATTGCTATCAGATTATTAATATTAAGAAAAGACCCATTTTATTTAATAATTGATAGTTTACGTTCAGACTACAAAAAAAACCTGGATTTTTTTAATTAAACACTAAAATTTAGAACTATTTTATTGAATAGATCCATCTGAAGATTGCTGACGTGACTAACATTTTTTAGACATTTAATACCAAAATCAGCATTTTAATAAAAATAATTTCTGAGTATAAAGCTTTCAAGCTTCAACATGGCCACCGATAGAATGAGATTCGGGTTAGCTTTACATAATTTTGGTGACTTTGAAATTTCGTTTTTCTGGCGTATAAGATAATTTCGTGCAGACTGCTACGACTAATTCCGCAAGCACGTACATTTCATATAATTATCTATAACGAAAAACTGTCTTATAGTCCGTCATCGTGACGGACTATAAGACAGGACACCCTATCTACAAAATGGTAATCTTATACTATTCTCTCTTCACCCCGCCAACCATATATATTATGTATATGCATGAACAATTAATATGGATAAATATAACTTTAAGCCTATGAAATTTCGGTGATTTGGTCCAATACCAACAATTAAGGGTAAGGAAACATTTAAATTGAAAGTTTGAGAAATAATATAGTTGTAATATTATGTAATATTATAAATTTATAATAAGATGTATCATTATATAATTAATTATTTTTATTCAAAAATTTATATGTAATATTATATATATTTACCTATTTAATGATACATCACACTCGTTTAATAACACATCATAATTATAATCTTACAATTATATGTAACATTATAATTATAACAATATTATTATTGAAAGTTAGCGAGGTTTATATGGTTGAATCTATTACAAAGAACTCTAGGGTAAGTTGACAAGAGTTTGAGAAAGAGAAAATTCATCTATTATATTTCTCCCCACGTGAGAGACAAAAGAAAGGTAAATGGTGCAATAGATAAAACAAGGGACTAAATAATGCGGGAATCAAAATTGAGACCTTTAATTTGGATCGATACTAAAAGTTTTATGCGTTGAAACAGACTTTTATATGAACTCGGAGCTCAGAGGCCAGGTGGTAAAGGTTTTTGCTTCATTTATACATACTTTAATTTAGATTTGTAAGTAGACCAAACCCAATGATAAAAAGTTTATATTCAAAATCCAAATTCAAGTTTAATTATTAACCTAATTAATTAGCTACTAGCTCCAACTCACTTACATATTCCACTTGCGTGCATACAATTTAAATTCAAAACTTTTTTATTTCAAAAAAAAAAAAAAGAACACTAAATTACTTATGTTACTTAGATAAAAAAAATAGGTAAAACCCTTAAATCCACCCTTAAAAAATATCGGTAAGGACACATCCACCTCTCAAAAACAAATAAGGACAAATTGTCCTTCCAAATCATAAATCAATACAAATTACCCCTTTTTCAACGAAAAACGTCAGAGTTTTGTTTGCCACGTCAGCATTTTTTAACAGAAAACGTTGAAAAAGGGGTGATTTGTATTGATTTATGATTTGAAAGGGTAATTTGTCCTTACTTTTTTTTGAGGGGTGGATGTATTTCTACCAATATTTTTTGAGGGTGAATTTGAGGGTTCTACCTAAAAAATAATTTTATATTTGAGACTCAATTTAGGGTGATCTTATAGCAATATCTCCAAACTACATTTTTTTTAGGGTGATTGTCTACAAATATTACTTGCCTACATTTATGTATTAAAAAAAATAATTGATACACATTCAATTTAATACATTTTTTGACATTTGTCCTCGTTTAAGTATTAAAATATGAGGTTTTTTAATTTATACCCTTAGGGTACTAGTTGAAAATGTATTAATTGTACTTTTTTATATTAATTGTACTTTTTTACATTAAATTTGTATAGTGAAATGTAAAAACAAACTTTATTTTTAACAATAATACCACATGGATGATTTTAATTGGGTAGTTAAATAAATTTAAAGTTAATTTATATTTTTTTATATAAATTAATTGCTAAAAAATATAATTAATATACTCTTTTAAAAAAAATTTAAAATATAATATAAGTACAGTAAACTCTTACATCCTAATACATGATTTTATTTTTAAGTTTATTATGTGTCTTTAATTTTAGACCAAACGAATAATAATTTTTTAATGAGAATATTATGCAGTGAATTAAATAGAAATATGTACCAATTAATGTTCATTAAAAATTTATACTCTCTCTATTCAATTTTTAGTTGTTTTACTTTTTAATTTGCAACTTTCATAATTAGTAGTCCCTTTTTTTTTATTTTAAGATGACATTAATGATTTTACTTCCATTTTATACCATTATTATAAGAAGATAATTATAACAATTGTGGTTATTATCATCATCAATATTGTTAAGGGTACTAAATTTTTAATTTTTTCTTATATAATGTTTGAAAATATTAGTTTATTGATTTATTATAATATATTAACTAATAAATATTAATTGTTTTATAAGTATTTTAATTAATAGTTACAATTATTAATTATTTTTATTAGTCAAATTAAACAAAATTTGTACTTTTAAAGACAACATTTTACGGTTTTGGTGGTTATCACATTATTGTTGGTGGTTATAATCTTGCCCAATTATAACACAATTTTTTTTGTTATCAACAATTATAACACATATTATAATAGCAAGTTTATTTAATTTATATTTTATATCCTTATTTTAAGAAGATAATTACAACATGTATTATAATAAGTACTGTCATTTAAATAATAATTAATTAAAAAATTATAAAATTTTTTCAATTAATTTTTACAACTTTAATTAATTAATTAATTTTTTTTAAAAGAAGTAGGCCAACTAAATTTGAAAGAGGTAGTTGTTCGAAGAAGTTTTCTCCTGCTTTATTCCATTCAACTACAATAGCATGAGAAATTGCATAGGGTGGCCTAATAAGTTATGTGGTTGAGATTTCAATTTAGTAGCTTTAAGTTTAAATATTAAATTAGATGGAGAAGAATTTAAGATAAAAAAAAGGTTTATTACTTTTGTATAATTTACTATCAAAAATATGTTTGGCTTGAAATAAATAAAGAAAAATAAATAAAAAATAATTTTTTTAACTAATTAAATTATAACATTGTTAATATTATAATTTATATAAAAAATATGCCTCCCCTCTCCTCATGTGTGTTTCCTAAAACCAAACATAATCTAATGTTAAAAGAAATAGCTAAAGAAAGTTGATAATTGTCAATAGAGTCCCCAGCTTGATCAAACTGGGGAGAAACTGAAATTCTTTATTTTCAGTTTCCTATATCAAATGAAAAAAAAGAATTTGAAATAACAAAAGAATGGATGGAATCAAATATATCCAAATGTTTGACTTGTCAACGATCAAAAGTTAAGCTTGCTGTCATCGTTTCTCTTCTTCTTCCTTAACAACTCCTCCCAAATTCACCGTCCGTATTTTGAACCGCTCAAGCCCCTCTACCAATTCTTCCTCAGGTCCGTCTAGACCGCGCGAGGAATTCCAACTTGCAGTCATTTCTCTGAATCGTTCAAAGTTATGCACAATTTCCTGAACTCCTCCTTTAACGCCGCGGGTAGCGGTATTCAACTCTTCCAAATTTATGGTGCCCTTTATGCTCTCCGGAAGCTTTTCATGCCACTCAGAGACAATTCTCAGAAGGTCTTCAATGGCCTGTTTCTCTTCTTCTTCAGTTGCCCTTGCGGTAGATTGAGGGATGGAAGTGTCCAAACTCTGGAACTGAAACATTTCTTCCGTAGAATCCAAGTTACAATCCATGTTAACAGGAACGAAATTGTAGCTGTTAATGGGTCTGGTGGGCTGAGGAAATTGATTCATCGTGTAACTATGATGATCTTGTACAAAAAAAAAAAAAAAAAGGCTAGCAGAAGCAATTGAACAAATTTTTGATTTTTTGAATTGAACAGATGGCTCGAGGTTTTCTTTGTGTGTTTTTTCACAAGAATTGTTTGGAAATGAAATAGAAAGGTATGCAAGGCAATGGCCTTTGTGTATGGAGTGTATTTATATAGGGAACAATGGTTGACAAGTCAACATTTTAACTCTGAAGACCAGTACTCCTTTATTGAACTGAAGACGAATTCAACAGATAATTAGTTTTCTTTCGTATAGTCAACTCATTGACCAAGTATTTGCACCCAAAAGGTAAATTATTGAATCTGTCAAACATTTGTTGCGACAGGAATGGCAGTTCTTGTGGAATGTTGGACTGACCGGATATTAAATATCTGGTAATCTTTTTTTTTATTCCATATGTATCCACAATTTAGGAGAATTGGTCCAATCTCCATTCCATTACAAAACAATTTCCAAGCATCCCCGTTAAGGTTTTTACTTTTTTATTTATGGTCAAATATTCTTGAGTTAAATTTTACATATTTTAAAAATTAATGTTTTTACAAATATTTTTAAAAACACTTCCTGATATCGTAAGTTTGCCCCGTATATCGGGTTAATATATTAGAAAAAATTAATTTTTTTAAGGTATTGACAAACACTATAATCCTAATTGTTGAGCAGCACCTGGGACTGCTCGTGTGTCGCAGAGCTGAGCAGAGACGAGCATGAAATCGTCTATGGTTACTGTAGTCATGTCAATCACTTTCTGTTGGAACTTCACCACCAGAAAGTAGAGCGGATTCTGCCTTGTATCTTGAATAAATCAAACGGGAATTCAAGAAAATAAGGGATTTGTGTACACGGAAGAAAATCCCTGTGTAAAAACTTTAAAAATCCACGGCATATAGGATCATTCGGATCATAAGTACCAATTTTGCAACTGTTTGATCCAATTCGATGATAAAACATCCATCAAGAACCATCGTCTCTGCAAATTCATCAGTACCCATTTGGAGATTTTCCTAATAACAATCCCTAATTCGTTTCCCAGTGACTGTACGGCATTCAGAAGATCTTCCAAGTTCGATCATCCGTAAATGAGGCCCGCCGTAGTGGTACGGTCGTCTTGAGATAATATGGGTTGATAGAAATTACCGATGATTTTGACCAGCTTACCGCAGATTTTGACCAGCTTCGGGGAACTCGGCGGCGGCACTGAGATTTTCCGGTACTTGGAGACTAGGGGATGCTTGGTTGACATGATCGGGAAACCAAACTGGGCCTATGATTCAAGGTGTGCAGGAGTGACCTGACAAACAAACGGGCTGGGGGAATGGTAGGTCGATTGTATTTTGGGCTTTCGAGGGTCCAAACCAGTTTTGTTCTTGCACCCCGTAACCCAGGGATAGTAGAGCGAGTGACAAAGTCCATCTGCTTTCCCTAGATGGTACTGCCGAGTTGTGGGTTTGAACCCAACCTGGCCTTCCCCCTCCTCGCCAAGTAAACCAGCCATACCTGTACCCCCTAACTTTGTTTTTCCATTTTAAATAAGTTACTTAGTGCCTGAGGATATATAGTTTTCACCTTTTTCTAACCTTAATTACCCTGCCTATAAATTTTAAATCATAAAACCAATCCTTAAGAAAATTTACTCTTAACTCTTAAAATACAGAAAAAACTACACTACCAGAAAAAGCTTTATTTTTGTTAGAATATTTCGAACAAGAATATATCTTGACTAAAAAAAAAAAACTTAATTCAGTCAGGTATTTTGATTGAAATAAGTTTTAATCTTATTAAAAGGTATTTAACAATAATTCGATCTAAAATTATTTTGATCAAATATATTGACCAAAATAAAAGAGTCCCAATTGAGGCCATAAGTAATTCGATCAAATATTTTATTCAAATTATATTAATAACAAAATAATAAGCATTTCGTTTATAAATTTTGACTGAATTAATTAAGTCATTTCTGTTTTAATATAGTCATATTTTTTTGGTAAAATTTTTTTATCGAAATAACTTCTCTTTTGTTTTTTTTTTTTAATTGTATTAGTATAGTGCTTTCTTTCCTAAATTTTTTAATTTTCTATGAAATTATTTTGGACAATATGCTTGACCAAAATAACTATCTTCCTTCTTCTTCTTTTTAATTGTGTTAATATGGTACTTTCTTTCCTATATATATATTTATTAAACTATTTCAGACAAGATATTTGACCAAAATTATATTGTTTGGCTCTAAGAATTAAGTGAAAATTCTTGAATTTTTTACCAAAATTATTTCGAAATTTTTTTTTTTTCGAAATTAGATGTTTTGGCTTTACAAATCAAGTAAAACATTTTGAATTTTTCACTGAAACTATTTAAGCAAAATTATTGTCTGAAATTAGAATTTTTTTTAACCTTAGAATCATGTGAAATGCATCAAAGCTATTTCAGTCAAAATTTTTTATCAAAATAATTTAATCTCTATAAAAACACTTCAGATACTTACAACTGTATTTTACCCATTTCGTTCTTCTTTCTTTTTGCTTTTTCATTCATTCTGCTTTCCACACTCATCTTTCTCATCTTTTTCTTCCTTTTAATTACTTCCCCTGCACATTTCTCTTTACTTCCTTTATTTTCTTTCATTTCTTCCTTTTTCTCATCTTCTCTTTTCTTCACTTTCCCTTTTCTTTTATTCATTCCCCTCATCTATATTAGAAGACCCTGCTCACTCATTTTAAAATCTATATTTGACAGACCTTCAAAATAAAAATAAAAGTTCAAGTTCTCAAGTGTTAATAAATCTCTTTTAAGAGACAATTACCTTTTCTTAATCATACTATTAATGTCAAGGTACGTAAATTAAAAAAGGATGGCACGCACGACCCCAATATTAGCCTGCTGCATTGCTAGCACGTCTTCTTTTTTTTATTAGCAAAATAAATTTTATTAAAATATAGTACAAGCGGTGCTCTCCCGCATATACGAACCATTATTTATTCTCACAACAAACCAGACTGGCCTCTTTAATAAGTTCTATACCATCAATCTTTCAAACCTTCCACAGCACATGGCTAGAAGTCCCTAATTTTCTAGTTCAAAGGCGACTCTTTTGACTCGCATAACACAGTAACACCTATATATGGATCAAAGAATGAAATCCAGCAATATGATATACTTACAATTAATGCAACTTAAGATTATAATATTATAAGTCATGAGGCAGCATGTCATTATATATATATATATACATATATATGTTGATGTACCATAAATGAACTATTAAATAAAAATAATAAATTATATAATAATATATTATAATTTTAAATTTATAATATTTTTATATATCATTTAAAAGTGAAATCAATCATTCCAAAGAGTCAAATCCACGGAATCATCCACGTCATCCCAACTGAACCCTTTTTGCATACCTAGAGGAGTCAATATCAACCCTTCCGCCATACCATCTAGTATCCCTGGCATGTTAAACACCTCCTCCTCATCCACAATCGAATTCAAAGAACTTTCCTGGATCTTCTCCGAGCTCTTCAAGCACGGTAATGGTGAAGGCGGCAAAGATGACGGTGACAACAAATTTTCCCCGCCAAATGCCTCTGCAGCCTCCATAGCAGCAGACTGAATGTCCCTAATGGAAGACGAGTTCGCACGAGGCAATGCCTGCGCTGCATCCGGAAAGTTCAACGAAGCAGCCTCTCCCTTGAGAGCCAAGGCTGCCGCATCATAAGCTCTAGCTGCCATCTCCGGGTTCGAGAAGGTCCCAAGCCATATGCGAGACTTCTTGTTTGGCTCCCGTAGCTCGCAGACCCATTTACCGTTTCTTTGCCTGACGCCTCTATACACTGGGTGGCGCGTCTCCTGAAACTTCTTCCTCCCTGCCTTCCGCTTCTGCACACCGCTGATGGACGTTGTTGACAATAACTTCTCCTCTCTACATTCCATTTTTCTCCCTCTTTATATATATTTTTTCTTCTTCTTTCTTCGTAAATTCTATATGAATCTAGCTGAAGAAATGATTTTTTTTATCAGACTATCTGCAGAAATATAATTGATGTCTTAATGGACTATAGTGTGGTGTGGGAATGATATATGAGGAATATATATATATTGCATGAGGGAGGTAGAATTAATTGAAAGAAAGGCATTCAAAACGTGCTTTTATTGCTCATAGAAGTTATAGAGGTGGAAACTGCATATACGTGGATGAATTCAACGAAATATGGAATGTGTATCACGCGCGGAAAAAGCTTCAGACAGTTTTGTCCAAACGGCGAAAAACGTTATTACTACAATAGTTTAAGTTTGGGTGTGACGGCCTAATCCAACTCCCACAATCTCACGATTATATGCGCGTTTTATGGTTTTTTTTTTTTTTAATTTAAGATTTATTCAAAAATAATAGTTATTTTTTATTTTAAAAAATAAATATATTTTATTTTATAATATATTACTAACAAATTAATTTAATTAATTAAAAAAAATATTTTTTCCTTGTTTTTTTTTTTTAATTTCATCTCCTCTTTCTTTTCTTTTGTTAGGTTCTCTTTGTTTTTTAATGATGATTTAAAACTATAAGTGAAAGAGTTTAATTTATTTTGTATTAAGTGTGTAGGAAAACTAATTCACGAATTTTAATCTTTCCCAAATATTAAAATTAAATCCTGTCCTCATTGTCCAAAGTTCTAGGTTTGAATAAATTCTAATTGATTCAAATCAATCCCGTAGTTCTATTTTCGAAAATAGTTCAAACCAATATTTTTAGCTTCGAAGTAAAAATTCTAGAAGACAAATGTTCAATAGTTCATTTATCTATTTTGTCTTAATGGTCTTTAGAGAGATCCAAATAACTAACTCACTTTTCAAAACAAGTCAAAGTATGTTATAGGAAGTAGAAAAAGGGTGGAATTTGATTGGAGCAATTATGAGGTGACTTTGAAGGGCAAAACAGGGTTTAATTGCAAGATTTTCCAACCAACCATTAAAAGAGCATAAAAAATCAGATCTAAGCTCTCTCCAATAGACTTCTTCAAAGGAAGATAAAAAAACAAAGTTTGAAATTGAAACTGTTCTAGATCTTCTTATTCTTCTTCTTGTGAGCTTTTTGGGTTAATTGCCTTTGCTTACAAGGGGTTGGGTGAGTTGTTAAGATTCACTTGTGAGGGTTTAATTTTACACTCGCGAGCAAGAGTTCGTTCTGATTTAATCTTGCACCATAAGTAAGAAAATCCTAGTAGATTAAACTCTCAAGCAAAGAGGTTTAGAGAGCAGACGTACTCCGAGTTAAAAGAACCACTATAAATTACGACTTGATATTCTCTTTGCTTTCTTTTTATTTCTTTACACTTTATTTACAAGATTGCAGTTAATCTTTATTTATTTTACATAATAATTTATGTATTGAAAATTTGATCCACGTTTTAAAAAGAAATTAAAAAAAAAAAAAAACCAAGTTTTGGAGTAAATTAATAAGACCCAATTCACCTCCTCTTGGGTAGCTAGCTGCTTTACATCTCTCAAAACCAAACAAGCTCTAAAAGGTGCACTGGGGAAATGAATGAAGCAGTTGTATGTAACTTGTTTTGAAGAGCTGAAAATTGGTTTAAAGTTTCTTCTGTTTTTCAATTTTCATGTGGCATTTGGGTTTATAATTAGAAGAAATAAATCTTCTGCAAATAGTACGATAGGGACATGGAAGAGGCCGACAGACGGGACTTAATTGGTGTGACCGTGGCGTTGCCTCGGGGTTGGGCATAACGTGATGAAATATTTTTCTTTCTTTCCTTTTTTTCAGATTTGAATTAGGGAAACGAGGATAATATTTTTCAGTCTCTTCCCAATTTAAAAGTATTAAATTATGATTAAAAAGACAAAAATATATTATTAATAAATTTTCATGTATTTCCAATTTATTAAGGACAATTTTATCTTTTTAACCCTCAAATAATTAATACTTTCAAGTATATATAGGAGGACAGTAAACATTTCTATTAGAAAAAATCATAGGAGGTGGGGGTTTTTATCCTTGCCAAAATTCATATTAAACTAAACTTTATTATTATTCTCCATTATACACGTTCTCAAGTTCTAAAGCGGCGCAACGACTGTTCGACCAAACTGGTCGGCCCGGAAAGATGGATTGAATTGGGTC